GGAGAAAGCCAGGTATTGAAGTTCAATACAGAGCAAGGCACATCTCATGCGAATTGTGGGCCGGTCTGAGGGTTCCTGTACCGTAGCTCGAATTTTGCAGTACACGGCTGGGAACGTCGAGATCACAAACAGATTTCGTCCGCTGAACAACAGTCTCACATCTGCCCTTAAGGTAACACACGAAACCCTTTAGAGCACAGAAAAGAGCAATAGTTTGTTTGCAAGAACTTCACTGACACTCCCTGGCAGGTTCTTTTCTTTATGCACAATAACTCTTCCAATTCGCCCTACACCTCCACACGGAATATTAGGGCCACAAGACAGCTGCCAGACCTTCCCAGGCAATGCTGGGTTACAGATCTCACAAGCAAATAACGAAACGTCGCATTTGTATGCGTCCTTTGGTCGGCTTGTCTGAATGACCGCGCATAGCAATGGGGCCGGAGGCGGGGGCTGCCAGAAAATCTGAGATTACTTTGCTAATGGCCCTAGGGTATTCAGGATGAAATATTTTAGATACATTTAAACGTTGGTAGCAATATTCGGTGGTGCACGCGATAACGTAGTTGGTTGAGGCATTGTACTACAGATCGGAAGGTCTCGGGTTCCATTCCCGATCAGGTCATTCGATTTTTCAATTGGCCTAATCCATCCAGCCGCACTATGGCCCTGGAGTCGACTCAGCCTCTAACAGAAATGAGAACTAGGAATCTCCCTGGGTGTAAAGGGCGGCCGGCGCTTAAGGCTGACAACATCACTGCTATCTGTGAGCCGATTGTCTAGAAAATGTTGGGAGCCTCGACGTCTCACAACCCTGTGGCCCTCCACTGCCTGTTAGCAATACTTGGTGTACTCCTTTTGCAATTTTCCAAAAAATCGAAGGCGGCTACAAACTGGCTGCCCCCTATGCCTGTGCCAAACCTCATGAAAAACTAATTTCGACAAGATTTGGCATTGTCCTCAATAGGAAGTCGTTAGTACCAAACTGCATTCGTTCTGATTTCGCCTCTCCAACTTTAGAACTCAAATTTAATAATATAAAAAAAATCTCAGGACTTAACGGCAAAGGTGTACTGGACACTAACACGTGTTTCGTGGAAATATTTACAGAATTACGGTTGAAAAGCTCACAGAGAGTAGCGTAGGTCTTTATGTAAAGTACCTGTTATTTTTATGCATTTTAATCAACATTACCAGATGTCGCCAGAGTCCAACATATCTCTTCAATACCAACAGTTCAGTGACTGTTGTCACACTGGGACTTCAAGATATGGCGAACGCGATATGCAAACGTTTGCAATGTGGCTGCGCAGGCGCAATGCCTACTGACTCTACCTGCCTGTGCAGGTGAGGGAACGCCCACACGAACTGTGCTTCCAAAACAATGAAACAATCGCGACCCGTCCGGATATACAGCACATCATCCAGAAAGTAACACTTTTTCCAGAGTTTTTTAAACATGTCTGAATTGCTCCGAATATCGACCGGGACACGGACGATCGTGACTGAGTACCTTCGTGGTCTTCTTCATTCCCTCCAGGCAAACGTCGAGATAGTAGCTGAATTAGGTTTCGACGCTTCCTTTCCAATTCACACCATTCATCTACCATGCTACCAGTCTACACTGTTGTAGTCTACTTCAGTGGCTCCCAAAGTAGGGCGCTGGGCCCTTTTGAGCGCGTTGTTCGCGTATTTACGGCTGAAGTAACTTTAGACCAGACAATGGGAAACTGGTATCACTTCAAACCCACCCATCTCATGAAGTTACTTACTAAATGTGAAACTGTATTTTATTACCTTTCTTAGTGGGTTGTGCAAACTGCTATTGTGAACATAGCTATTTGCAGGGTGGGGCGGGGGGGGGGGCGAAGAAGTTTGGGAACCAGTCCCCTAGACCCCGACAGTGCCGTCAGCAATGTCTGTTTTAGTTTGCAGTATCTCATTCAGAAACGGAGCGAGCATCTCTTTAAAGCAGACATTTAACTCGGTCTGTAGGCATGTTCACAATTGTTGAGACAGGCCGGAGCCAGTCCTGCGCCATATTGACACCCTCACACAACAAGGGACATGCACCAATCGGTAAAATGTGAAGCTGTCCCTGCGCTTGAAGACGTGCTGGGGGAGTGGAGATACAGCTCCACCATTCTTAACCTTGGAACTAGATACAGGCGTGTAGCCCCTGCCTCAACTGATCGGAGAGTCAGTCTGGACGCTGTGCAGAGGAGAAATGTCTCCACAACAGCAAGCAACCGGTTAATGCTCTTTAGAGCAAGACGTCTTCTTTATTCTGAGAACCACAGGAAACACGTAATTACTCTGTGCGGGTAAAACGCAAAGTTCTTTAATGTTCAAGCACGTGCCACTGTGCTTCAAAGGACCAGTGAATAATGAATTGTAAAGGATGTGGCAGGAANAGGGGGGGGGGGGGCAGGCATTTGAGTCGATACCTGCCGAAAGCGTGGAATGAACGAGTGGCTACCCACGGCCTTCTGCGTTACCCCAGCTGGATAATGCTGCAAGCCGTCGCGATGATAAAGTGTCATTTTAGATATTATTTTGGCTGCGCATTCATACTCAGAAATGTGACTGCTTATCTGTGATACGGATTAGGGAGAAGGCAAGGAAATCTTGACTTCTCATGTTAATAACTGTTTACAATTACAGGGATGTGTATAATGCACGGCGGTTTGACACAGCTGCCACAGCTGAACCAGATCAAAGTTTCTACAAGTGCCCCCCTTCCACTCACAGAACGGTTGCGTTACTGAACATTTTTGGTGGTCCTTTGGCTTTAGCGACTGGGCAGTGAAAATTTTTTCTTTTCTTCACAACGTCCAGACGGGCTCTGGGGCCCACCCGGCCTCCTATCCAATGGGTACTGGGGGCTCCTTCCCCGGAAGTAAAGTGGCCGGGGCGTGAAGCTGACCGCTCACCTCCACCTAGTGCCAAAGTCAAGGGTGGTGGAGCTATACCTCCACTCCCTCATATATCTTCATGGCATATGGCTTAATTAATTAAGCACAGGGACAATTTTACCTTTGGCTTGAACATTTAATACAACACCGCCTGCGATAAACATTTCTGTCCACGCATTTCGTGCTCTCCGGGTGATGACAATGAAGCAACAAATTTGGGCTCGAAGCTTTCTGTATTTCCCGAAAGAATGTTCAACGCTGAGGCCAAATTTAGCAAGATTTCTGAATACTAAACATAATCACAACTCGTTAACCGAGAGGAGAAAGACAAGTGCGCTTGCACACGCACAGAAGTAAAATTACAGTAAAAGTAGGGAATGTTGAAAACATTAACTGATTGTGATGTACTGAGAGGTACTGAGAATGGACAGAGAAATCCCGTCTACGTCTCAAATCACACACGCAAAAGCGCACTAAAATTCTTTTCCACGAATTACAAAAATAATAACAAATCTCGTACCTCCTTCTTTATCTACAACGCCTATAAACAATACTCCGACAATTACGTTATGGAAATATGACACATTGTAAATTAAACTATAATGAACACAAATATAATTATAATATTTGATGCGCGTAAATTTATAAATTTAATTCGGACTAGTTTCGTTTGAAGTTCAGTTGGCTACCGTTACAAATAGGATTATTACAACCTCTCCACTGTCTCGCAGCAATCCCTATCCTTGTCAGGCCTGTCGACTCTTTGGCACAAACCAACACCCTCTCAGCTCTCTCTTACGGCACGACAATGAGAATGGTGCCAATCCAAGGAACGGCGCATGCACATAAACGTGAAGAAGGAGCAACTACCGTGTGCCTGTGAACTGCTACAGCAAGTGTTCCTGCGCGCCAAACGGCGCATGCACATAAACGTGAAGACAGCAACTACCGTGTGCCTGTGAACTGCTACAGCAAGTGTTCCTGCGCGCCAAACGGCGCATGCACATAAACGTGAAGACAGCAACTACCGTGTGCCTGTGAACTGCTACAGCAAGTGTTCCTGCGCGCCAAACGGCGCATGCACATAAACGTGAAGACAGCAACTACCGTGTGCCTGTGAACTGCTACAGCAAGTGTTCCTGCGCGCCAAACGGCGCATGCACATAAACGTGAAGACAGCAACTACCGTGTGCCTGTGAACTGCTACAGCAAGTGTTCCTGCGCGCCAAACGGCGCATGCACATAAACGTGAAGACAGCAACTACCGTGTGCCTGTGAACTGCTACAGCAAGTGTTCCTGCGCGCCAAACGGCGCATGCACATAAACGTGAAGACAGCAACTACCGTGTGCCTGTGAACTGCTACAGCAAGTGTTCCTGCGCGCCAAACGGCGCATGCACATAAACGTGAAGACAGCAACTACCGTGTGCCTGTGAACTGCTACAGCAAGTGTTCCTGCGCGCCAAACGGCGCATGCACATAAACGTGAAGACAGCAACTACCGTGTGCCTGTGAACTGCTACAGCAAGTGTTCCTGCGCGCCAAACGGCGCATGCACATAAACGTGAAGACAGCAACTACCGTGTGCCTGTGAACTGCTACAGCAAGTGTTCCTGCGCGCCAAACGGCGCATGCACATAAACGTGAAGACAGCAACTACCGTGTGCCTGTGAACTGCTACAGCAAGTGTTCCTGCGCGCCAAACGGCGCATGCACATAAACGTGAAGACAGCAACTACCGTGTGCCTGTGAACTGCTACAGCAAGTGTTCCTGCGCGCCAAACGGCGCATGCACATAAACGTGAAGACAGCTACTACTGTGTGCCTGTGAACTGCTACAGCAAGTGTTCCTGCGCGCCAAACGGCGCATGCACATAAACGTGAAGACAGCTACTACTGTGTGCCTGTGAACTGCTACAGCAAGTGTTCCTGCGCGCCAAACGGCGCATGCACATACACGTGCAGAAGACAGCAACTACCGTGTTCCTGCGCGCCAAACGGCGCATGCACATAAACGTGAAGACAGCAACTACTGTGTGCCTGTGAACTGCTACATAACTTACTGATAAGCTGTGTCCTACTTACCGCGGCCGTCAGGGCGGACCTGCAAGCAAAATATAGCGCTTTCATTCATGTTCAAACATAACTTTAAAATAAGTTGTCGCTGGCAAGCAAAGCGGTGAAACATTCATTACAAATTCTGCATTCTGCCCACAAGTATTGTCTGGCTGTCAAGGCAAACATTTCGTTTCCCTGACCAATTGATCTTCGCTGGATTTCAGGATCTCACAGCGGTGACTGTGCTGTGAAAGACCCACGATTCGGAGGAACATGTAGTCCCCATCATCAGGGTCGAAGAGTAAGCCATGCAACAAACCAGCAATAAACAGGCAGCAAGGACAAGAATATGGTCCTCTTCAAACTGGCTTTTGTAATGGAGATTTACTGTACCTTCAGTGAGATAGAGAATTATTTTAAATACCTAATTAATGAGGTAAATTACCTCCCAGCTAATGTACTGATTTTGGTCTACACCTACAGCACAAAACTGCACAGTTGTACTCTATTATAAGCCAGTTCAATTCAATCATACTCCAATTTATTTAATTAATCTCTGTGGTATAGTGGCCAGAGTTCCTGGATGCAGACCCAGAGGTCCCAGGTTCGATTCCCGACGTTACCAGATTTTTTTAAAAGTAGTGGGCCTGGAACGGGGTCCATTCAGCCTGGTGAGGATAACTGAGGAGCTATTTGAAAGAAATAGCGGCTCCGGTCTAGAAAACCGTGGGTCTTCAAAGCAGTCTCTTTCCCTCGAATTTTTCAAACAAAACTTCGTATGCACTAGAAGGTTACTATCCTGTGGGATGTTACACTATACATTTCAGTGAATCGTTACAAGAATTCTGGAAAAACGTGCCACCTCCATCTTCAGGGAAGAGGTCCATATTTCTGCAACGTCTCCTATCTGCCACAGCCTGTACTGACAGAACAGGGTCGGGATTTTGTTCTCAGGGGTTCTTAGGCTCCCATGCCAAAGGAAGAACACCGATTGCCGGTCTCTGAGGGGAATATGGGGACCCAAGAGCGATGAAGTGACAGACTGGAGACAACAGCACGACGAAGAGCTTCATGATTTGTATTGTGATCAAGCCAAGAAGTATGAGATGTGTGGTACAGTACACACCTAGTCAGGAAATCTGAAGAGACTGCTTACGAGGTTTAGATGCCAATGAAAGGAAAGTCAGGGTGTGGGCTGGTTCAAAGGGCGGAGTTAGGGTTCAGTGGCTGATTGTAGTGGACACGATAATGGTCTTCATGTTGCACAACTGACAGCTAATCTCCTGACCAGCTGAGCGACCGTCAGCTCCATGGAGTTAACGGCAAGGTGGATGTCGGCCCAGAAGCAACAACCGCAGCGCCTGCTTTGTTTTCCAGGCCCGGAAAAGACAGAGAAGCATTTCACCCATCACGTAACACAGGTACAAGATTTGAAACAGCTGACGGTGTTTAGGAATTCCTTGGGTTTCCTATAGGCGCAGCAACACCTGGAGAGCGATAGAGTGACAGACAGCTGGGTGGGGGTGCGTACCACAGATTTGTTTCCCGCCAACTTGTTTCTTCCACCCTTATAAACCGCCACGTCGCACCTGTCCTCCCATGTCGAGGTCACTCGGCCGCATCAGGGCAACAACGACTCAAGTCTAGCTTATTTACGACAAGGAAACTTCACGGGAAGTGAAGAATGTCGTCTTCTGGGATGTGGCGCCGTGTAGATCTTGTGTGAACTGATGTTTCGGAGTGACGTATCGCCTCCATCTTCAGGGTAGAAAAATCTGCGAGCGAGGAACCAGCTTGAGCAGGTTGCTGTAGACTAACATAGTCACCGCCGTGAAAACTTCAATTCTTACATAATCTGACGGGAAGCTTTCCACCACGGCTGGGGGCAGGGATAGTGACTGAGGCTGAACAACAGAGTAATCAGGGTTTGATTCCCAGCAGGGTTAACAGATTTTTCTCTCATCCAAAACGTCCAGACCGGCTCCAGGACCCGCCGAGCCTCATATTGAATGGACACCGTTGGTCGTTTCCCGGGGGGTTAAGGGGCCGATGCATGGAAGTCACTCAACTCCATCTAGTGACCGGGTTAATGATGAGTGGAGTTATACCTCAAGTCTCCATACGCCTACATGGTGTGGTAATTAATTGAGAACATGTGTAACTTTACTGTTACATTACTGATTACTGAGAATGGACCAACTGAGGTGACTCCCGGCTCTTAGCAGTGGAGACTCGTTTCTGTGGGCTGTCCGCTAGCTGCTGACGAGAGGGCCCACAAATGAAGTTACGTTCGCATGATGACAGACAGAATTGCGTAATGCTACAGGAGCAGGTCGCAGTTTCTGGAGTAGTTGAGGTTGCGTGAGTGCGTGTGAAAGTCGTGCGTAGTTAAGGCGAGAGGATATATTTATGGTGGATTTAATTATAAACTATTATCTTCCTGCGAATGCACAAAAACATAAGGACAAAGCAAAATTAACAGCCTCATACTATGCATTATATTTCTGATCACTGTTATTCCAGGATCTTGTTTTTTTGCATGTGCGTATTTCCTGGAATCGCAGTGCCCAGTTCCAGTTCAAGGACGGCCCTGGGAACGGACTGTCCACGCGGCTTGCCATGCTCTTGGTAACAGATTGAGCCTGTGACGTAACTGCCGCCATCATACTCAAACACTGTCACTAGAACGTGTTCCCAAACAATCAGCTGGGAACCCTCTCCACTTACTAAGGTAAAGCTGTCCCTGTGCTTAACTAATTAAGCACTTCGCCATGAAGGCGTATGGGGGAGTGGATGTACAGATCCAAATTTTCTTGACCTCGGCACTAATTAGCACTGAGCGGTCAGCTTCACGCCTCGGCCGCTTTATCCCCGGGGAAAGAGCTCCAGGCACTCACTGGATAGGAGGCTGGGTGGGCCCCAGAGCCGGTCTGGACAACATGGAGAAGAAAACATTCTTGATGCTACCGAACCTGTCCAGTGGAGGTTCAGCCCACTCAGCAAGCGATCACCGGGGAATGAGGTGCAGTGGTGACATATGCGGCTTATATTAGGAAAGTTGGCCCGGCTACCCTGAGTTTCTTCGCGGTTTTTCTCAGTCCCTACAGGCAAATGCCGGGATAATACCTCGATCTGACCGCAAACATTTCCTTCCAAATCCTTGTCAATTCGCCCTATCGTTTGGTGGTATTTTCTTTATTGCTAATGGGGTGGGACTAAGTCCCTTGTACTGCGGCCACTTTTGACCTATTGTACCAGCCCCAGATGATAGGTGAGGGTGACTGTGAAGCAATTGGTGGAATGAAGATTGGCAGGGGAAACCCGAAGTACTCGGAGAAAACCTGCCCCAGCGCCACTTTGTCCACCACAAATCCCACTTGACCAGACCTGGGATCGAACCCTGGCCGGGGCGGTGGGAAGCCGGCGACTAACCGCTTGAGCTATGGCGCGTTCGTTTGGTGCTATGTAGTGATATACAGCATCAGAATATACAGGCCCACAACCTTACAGCAATCGACGAAACTATTGTTAAAAGGAAGGTTGGATAAAACTGTGCCTGTGCATCACGCCATGAACACGCGTGCGAAACCAATCTTCACCTCGACACGGGACGGACATGTTCACATTCACGCTATTGCTGTCTGTTATATAGGAAGCTGCGTGGATCCCAAAGCCGATCTGGACGTTATGAATAAGATACAAATCTTGCCCCGCCGGGAATCGAACCCAGACAGTGCAGCCCGTAGGTATACCGACTGAGTTATTCTGGATCTTAGTTTAAAACTAAGTCTGAAACAGATTATGTGGTTCCCTTCCTCCCTCCTCACCGTAGCGATGCGGATGGTAGGAGCCACCTTGCAGCAGACGATCGAAAAGCAATCGAGCGCTTTGAACGTTTCCAACCCAGTATTTCGACCTCACCTTTTACGTCAGACCACTGTCCCATCTATGTGCACGCTTTCTGGTCCTCCAGCCGTGCTATATGCTTATGACTGTTCGTGTGCATTTAGCCCGGAAGAAGAGTACACAATTACGCACGGTTTCCCCTGCCAATTCTCATCCCACCGACTTCTCCACACTCATCATCTATCATCCGGGGCTGGTACAATGGGCCCAACAGTGGCCGACGTACCGAGTAGGCTGTCTCACCCCACTCCAAGGGGGTGGGGTTATGCGAAATCACTCAACCCCAGCATTTCGTGCCAACAGGCTCTAGTATCATAACGACGTCTTGCTTTGGGAACGCAGCGACGCTCTAAAAGAACAGTCCCCCCCCCTGCCGGTGTTCTTGTGGGGGATGCATATCGCACTACCCCTTGTAGTGCCGGAAGTGGAGAAACAGGAAACTCTCAGCCACTTTCTACCTACATGAGCTCGCGACTTCAGGGTAACAGCGACCAGTACCCCTTGCAAGTCCCAACTGCTGGCGTTTTGGTAAGGATTAATAAGGAAGATCGCCCATGTAAGGAGTCACGGGAGCCTCCAAAGCTCTAATACAACCTGCGACAATCATCGAGGGATTACAAGATGTAGCCCTACATGAAAGAAAGTGTACAGTTCGTCAAAGTTAAGTCTTAATGTTAAACAGAACGCTAGATTGTATTCCATAAATTGTTACACATGCTTCCCAGGAGAAGAATGCTCGTTTCAGCAGGATCTAGGGCAGATGGTACATATAGTTACCATTACATGTTACAGGGTTCAAATAACCCAGACAGAGAGTCCACGCGTCTTACGCAACTGCCTGCAACAGATCACGCAATTTAATTTTCCCCAGGTTTTCCAAAGCAGTTTACAGCTCAGCCCTTTGTAAAGGCAGTTCAAACTACTTCACTTCCCCTCCCCTTCCCCAACCCCATTCATCCTGGTCCCTCACAGGTGTGACTTCTGACGGCCATTTAGAGACAGAAGAACCGCACTCGGCACACAAACAGGGGGGGGAGGAATTCACAAGGCACAAAAGGCTACGGCTGGTCAAACTGCCACTAACTCACTGACTCAGTGACCCGCCACTCCACACAATCGCATCCTCTCCCGCCCTCACAG